GAGGAATTGTCAGGGATGCACTTGGGGCTGTTTGGGCTTGCAATGAGTTGAGAACTTTCTGGACAAAGCTGTCTCTCCCAGGCAGCCAAGTGGCTGCAGGGGGACAATGTCACCAGGGGGTTGTGACCGCAGCGTCGGTGCCCTTCAGGTGTGCTTCAGTGGGATGCCAAGGATGCTGGCTTTGTCCCCAAAGAGCCCACTACTCATTTCTTCAGGAGAACAGAGGTTTGTGGGCAGTAGAGGTGTTGGGACAGCTTCCTTCTCCCGACCAGCTGGCTGGGAGCAAGCTGGATGCACTTGGGAAAGGCTGGGTGGATGGTGAGGTGTGGATGGAGGGATCCCCATGGATCTGCAGAGCAGAAGGCTGGAAGAGAGATGTTTTCAGGGAGCTTTTCTGAGGAGCGGCTTTTCTGAGGGAGCTGTGGGTGCTCAGCCTGGAGAAAAGGAGGCTCAGGGGGGACCTTCTGGCTCTGCAACTCCCTGACAGGAGGGTGGAGCCAGGGGGGATCAGGCTCTGCTGCCAGGGAACAAGGACCAGGACAGAGGAGGTTTAGTTTGGCTATTTTGGAAAATTGTTCATGGAAAGGGTTGTCCGTCCCTGGCACAGCTGCCTAGGGCAGTGCTGGAGTCCCCATCCCTGGAGGGATTTCAAAGCCATGTCGATGTGGCACTTGGGGAGATGAGTCAGTGGTGGCCTTGGCAGTGCTGGGGGAACAGCTGGATTTCATGATCATGGAGGGCTTTTACAACCTTAATGATCCTTTGATTGTTCTGGATCACCTGAAGGAAACCTGTGTGCCCCATTGGTGTTCTGCTCTCCTTTGCCTTGTGCAGCAGCAGCTGCAGGAGGGATATTGGAGCTGGGATGTGCAGCCATGCTGGAGAGAGGGCTTCAGCCTGTCCCGCCTGCTGTAGCGAAGGGATTGAGTCAGCTCCACGTGGATTTGGGGTCTGTTTTGTGTGTTCCCTGCCAGGAGATCTGGGAGGGCAGCACACTGGTTAAGCTCTGCCAGAAAGGCATGGAAGGCAGACAAGAATCCTGCCAAAAACGTGTGCCAGCTGGGAGTGGGGGGAATGTGCTGCTGCAATGAGAGGCCTGGTCTGGGTTGATCATCACAGGGGAGCTTGAAGTGACTCCATTCAGGAGCATCCTAAATGCTCCTGGTTTAGGAGCATTTACCTGGGGGGGAGATAAAACTTGCCAGCTGAGGGCTCTGCAGGCTGGGAGATGCTGCTGCCATGGGATAAAAAGGGGAAGCAGCAGTGTAACATATTTATGGTGAGACATTGGCACAGGTTGCCAAGAGAAGCTGTGGCTGCCCCATCCCTGGAAGTGTTCCAGGCCAGGTTGGATGGGGCTTGGAGCAACCTGGTGTGGTGGAAAGGTGTCCCTGTCCATTGGAATAACATGGTCTTTGAGGTCCCTTCCAACCCAAACTGTTTTGTAGCTCCGTGCTGATATTTGGACAGGACATGAAGTGTAGATTTTATATCACTGGCAGTAAAGTCCAGGCTGATGGTGTTTCTCCACCAGGAAGAGTTCAGGGAAGCCCATGGATGATGGAGACGGTACCCAGCTGGCCTGGCAATCTGTGATTCCAGTAGAACAGTGGTTCTTCCTTGTCATGGGAGGCTCAAAACCCACCCCACATCACCCTCAGCTTCCTCAGTAATAAATACTGGCAGCTGGTGTCTGTGTGATGAAAGTGTCAGGAAAGCAGGTGGGATCACAGAGGTTTTTCAGGGATCACAGTCCATGGTTTCCAGGTGCAGGATTCCCAAGCAACTGATGTGGCACAAGCAATTTGTGCCCACACAAGAGTTTGTGCTCAATGTCTCTGGTGTATTTGCTTTCACTTTAAGTCACCTACAGTGACCTTGACCGACTTGCCTGGCTCTGTCTTGGAATGATGACAGTGGAAACATGAACCAGGCCTTGCATTCCATCTGTGCTGTCCTGCCCCGGTCCATGGGCTTAGGGTTTCCCAACAATGACACAGAGCTGGTTCACACATCTGTGGTATTTTCACACACGTCTCTGGCAATCCTGCAAGTGTCAGTGGTCTGTTTTCAACCCTATGGTGTTAATTTTCTGTTGATGGAAAAGAGGTGACAGAGGAAATGGCTTCAAAGCTGAATATTCAGGTCTGGATTGACGGGGAACAGAGGGAACCTGCAGGGCAGGATGGAGAAATGAGGAGGTGAGAGGACATGGGTAAGGAAGGGCTGAGCACACATTTTTCATGGAATCCCAGAATAGTTTGTGTTGGAAATGACCTTAAAACTCATCTTGTTGCAGCCCCCTGCCATGGGCAGGGTCACCTTCCACTAGCCCAGGTTGCTCCAAGCCCTGTCAAACCTGGCCTTGGACACTTCCAGGGATCCAGGGGCAGCCACAGCTTCTCTGGGCAACCTGTGCCAGGGCCTCAGCACCCTTGCAGGGAAGAATTCCTTCCCAATATCCAATCAAACCCTGCCCTCTGGCAGTGGGAAGCCATCTCCCCTTGTCCTGTCTGTCCAGGCCCTTGTTCCAAGTCCCTCTCCAGCTCTCTTGGAGCCCCTTTAGGCACTGGAAGGGGCTCTCAGGTCTCCCTGGAAGCTGGAGTTGTGTTTTAAGCTGCTGTCACCCTCCTCGAGGTTTAATGCCATGACATCTTTGAGTCCTTGGAGGCTGCTGCTCTTGCTTCCTTGACAGTAAGCTCTCCCATCTGACCCGGGCTCATTCCCACATGCCAGGATTGTGTTTATTTTTCCATCCTGTTGTAGCCAAGTTTGTCATTTCATAAACATCCCCCCCCCCTTGTCCTGATCCCTGTCCCCTCTGTAAGCCAGGGGAATAGATGGGAGGGCACAGGACCAGGAATGCCTGACGCTGCCCAAAGCTGGAAAGGAGGGAACTGGAAATTTTGAGATGAAAAGAAAACATTGATGTCTTTCCAGCTCTGTCTTTGTTCCGCTGTGCCTTCAGGCCTGGATCCCAACACCCCACCTCTGGGAGAAGGAGCCTGCGAGGCTGAGCATGCCTGGCTGTCACTAAATCCTCGCTCTCAGAGCACAGCAGAGGCTCTTTCTCTGGTGGTTTGTGAGCTTGGGGTCATCCCAGAGCAGCCACAGGAAGCTGACAGCGTCTGACAGGGTGTTGGAGGGAATGGCAGTCCATGGACACAGAGGTGTTTGTTGGGGGAAGCAGCTGCAGCTCGTGGTGCAAAGCAGCACATCCTCAGTTCCAGCTTTGTCCCTTTGCTGACTGGTGACCAGCCACACTCCAGCACCAAAGAACACCTGAGGAGCAGGAACCTGGTGTTAAACAGGGGATTGGAGTGGGAAGAAGGTGTTTTTCAATCCGTAGAGCTCTTTAACCTCCTCACATTATTTGGTGTGGAATCACAGAATCCCAGACTGGTTTGGGTCAAGAGGGATCTTAAAGACCATCTTGTTCCACCCCCCTGCCATGGGCAGGGCCATCTTCCACCAAAATCAGTTTGTTCAGGAAAATTCAGACCTAATGCACGCACTGGGGTTTGGGATGGATGATCTTTAAGGTCCCTTCCAAACCTTAACATTCTGTGATTCTCCCTGAAAGTAAAAGTGGCTACTAGGAAGCGGCAAAACCAGCAGCCAGGAGCAGAAAAGATATTGCAGATTTCTTGTCTGATTTTATTGCTACATGTAGATTAGGTCAAGGGTAATCTGCTGCTTTTGTTAATCTTAGAGAGGTTAAATTGTATCAGGACTTCTGCACACAGAGTAAAGAAGAAAATAGCAGTACTTTTAAAAATAGCATCCATTTAAGTTACGTAAATCCTTATAAATACAAGAGAGAAATCAGTTATTCTATAAAAAATAAACCAGAGCATGTGTTCTTGAAGCACCAGGCACTGCATCCTCATGTTAAGGACTTCAGCTACAGAGTCTTTATAAATATACCTGCAAAATTCCTCTTCATTCTGACCATAAACAGGGGTCAGAATGTGCACATTTGTATTTTGCACAGAAACAGAAGGTCTGATACTTGAATCTCAACTGGCCGTTTGACTTTTGTCAACCTCAACCTGCCCCATCCCTCTGCAGACACCTTTCAGTGGCACCCAAATGCTGTTGGCATCCTCAAAGCTCTTTAGCAAGAACTGAAGCAGTTTGGGTGGGGGTTTGTGTGTGAAACTGTCACCGCTTTCTGTCTGTACATTTAATTTTTGTTTCACTCGAAAAAAAATAAAAAGGAGGGACAAAACCCAGCCTTAAAGGGACAGCACTGAGGGTCTGTGTGCTTGAAGGTGCCACTCAGAAATAAGAGAATGGCCTTTGCTGTCCTCTTTGCAGTTGTCTGAGTGGTGTTGGAGTGACTAAATCATGATGCCCCCGAGATGTTTGTGTCACATTAATAATAATTTCCACAATTGGAAATTATGGTTGTGCTGCACCTGCCTGAACAAACACTCACGTGTGTGTTCGTGTGTGTGTAAGTATAATATATATATATATTTTTTATTTTTTCCCCAGTTGTGACTCTCCTGTGCCTGTAGCTGACAACAGCCATGTCAGCCCAAGGGGGTAGATGGGTTTCTTCCCTTGTTTTCCTGCTCTTCTGTGCTTCCTCCATCCCAAGGCCGGGAATCGCGGGGCTGCGGCAGGAGCCGAGCCCCCAGCGCTACTTCAGTGGCTTGGAAGCTGGACGAGCATCCCTGGCCTTTTTCACCCCTCATGGTAAGTATTTAATGGTGGGCACTGACATCAGGCTGGGGCTCAGCAAGGCTTGGATGAAAGTGGAACAATCCCAGAATCGTGGAATGGTTTGTGTTGGAAGGGACCTTAAAGCTCATCCAGTTCCAACCTCCTGCCATGGGCAGGGACACCTTCCACCAGACCAGGTTGCTCCAAGCCCCATCCAACCTGGCCTTGGACACTTCCAGGGATGGGGCAGCCACAGCTTCTCTTGGCAACCTGTGCCAGGGCCTCACCACGCTCCCAGGGAAGGATTCCTTCCCAATATCCCATCTAACCCTGCCCTCTGGCAGTTTGAATCCATTCCCCCTCGTCCTGTCACTCCAGGCTCTTGTAAATAGTCTCTCTCCACCTTTCTTCTATCTCCTTCAGGTACTGGAAGGCTCCAATTAGATCACCCCAGAGCCTTCTCTTTTCCAGGCTGAACAATCCCAATTCTCTGGGCCTTTCCTCAGGGAGAGGTGCTCCATCCCTCCAATCAGCTTGTGGTCCTCCTCCATGAAGAGGCAATTCTTGAGATTTTTAACCCCAGAGGGAGCTGGTCAAGCTCAGTGTTTGTGCATCTCCAAGTGCTCAGGCAGACAGAGACCTCTTGGGATGGCTTCTTTCCTGGATGTGTCCCCAGGAACACCCTTGCAAACCTCTTCATTAATTTTCTGGAATATTTTCTGTAGGTACCATGGAACAGAAATCCAGTCTCCTAAGGAACTCTCCCCTCAAAGGGGCTGAGTTTCTCTTCTGTGGTACCTGCCAGGGAAAGGGTGATCCCTTACATGCAGGAGAACTAAGGACTGTCATGGATTAGGAGGAGATCCTTGGCCTTGTTTTGTTGTTCTGCCATTTCATGTGATCCCCGGGTGTGATTCCCAAAGACACCGGTGTGGGATGAGGCACCAGCACAGCTCCCAGGTCTCAGCGTGTGGCCAGAGGATGCTCCTGACCCTGAGAACTTGCAGAGGGTTTTTTGTGTTTCAGTCTCTCCTGGTGCCCAGCCCTTCCTGGAGCAGATTGAGAGCTCGACCGAGGCCCTCCAGGACTATGGCATTTCTGTGGTGAAGGTAAAGGGGCACAGAGGGAAACTGCTGGGCAGGATGGAGGGAGGAGGGTCTGAGAGGAGATGGGTAGGGAAGGGATGAACACACGTTTTTCATAGGATCATGGAATCACAGAACAGTTTTGGTTGGGAGGGACCTTAAAGAGCATCTTCTTCCATCCTCCTGCCATGGGCAGGGACACCGTCCACTATCCCAGTGAATCCGAAAAATCGGTCTGAGAAACTGCCCAGAGACTTTGATCTTTTGAGCAGCAAAGGTATTTATTTGCAGCGCTGGGAGCAAGCCAGCTCGCGCTGGACAAACTTGCTCTAAGGCTTCACACAAAATCAGCATTTTTATACAATCTTCAGCTGTGATTAAATGCATATTCAAACGATTACAACATCTATCAATACATATTAAAGATAGGCGGAGAACAGGCGGAACTTGGGGCGGTGCTTCTCTTGGCACCCCATTTCAAGGGGTCGTTCCCATCTTCATCCATGGGGCAGGGGGCTTTAACTCCTCTTCCTCAGCTTGACCATTCTTCCTTTCCATTGTTCTTGACCCGCTCAGTGAAGCTCGGAAAAGCCCTGGCTCCAGGCCTATTTCTCCTATTCAAATGTCTACCTGATCCTGTTATATTTCTAATTTATTGCCTCTAGGCCTATTTCATGTTCTTGTACTATTCTCTTAAGCTTTGGTCCAGTAAGTAGAACAGAACGAGCAGAGATCGTCTTGGATGTTAGCAGCTTGTTAGCAGGCCCAAATTTCTTGGTTAACTCTTTTGGACCTAGCCTCCTGTTTCATTCCCCCCTTTTTGTTTAGAATTTACGAATTCTTTCGTCAAGTTCTAATGGATATTGATAGGTATTCATCACAGCCCACATTATCTGCATCCTTCTAACCATGATGTTTGATTTGTACCATAGCCAAACAGTTAGGACCAATATAGAATCATGCCAACTCTTAAAACCAGTATTGGATGTATTAAATAGTGAAACACTTGTGATGCTGTAGGGGAGTATCCTGTAAAGATGTTCCACCAGTGGTGCTCTCCCACTTTTTCCACTTTGGTTAAAACAGTTTTTATGTTCTCAGTGTC